CAGTGGGACACAACGTTGATTGAACAAGATCTACCAAATATCATCATACTGAATATCGCACAAAATATTTATTGGAAACCAGACCAACAAATCCTGTCACTACCAAATCTGMAGATTATTTACTTTTTTGAGCACCTCTATAAAAACGATAATTCAGTATGCCTAACTCTCCATTGTCACCTGATTCATAAAAATAAAACAAACAGCACCGAAAATCAACCGTTTATAAAAAGGTCAGCAAGAATCATCCAGAAAAACGTAGACCTGAAAATGTTACCAGTCGTGCCTGACATGTGCAGGTACAAGAAACTAGTTCTCAAGAACCCAACCTATTGGATAGTCATCGATGATATAGGTTTCAATGTTCATTGTGAAGTATCACAGTCCAGGTGTTTGTCCAACAACTATGACCACATAGAAAATGCAACCATACCGCGTTGGTTTTACTTTGACTACTCCTGGATTAAACCCTATTGCTGGAACACTATCCAAAGCATTCACATCATTACTTTGGTAGAAGGGGTTTGTGCAATGGTTTTCAACGTGATCGTTATTATCACGACTTTAAGAAGCAGAGTTCTACGAGAGTCTGTAGCACATTTTCTTGTGGCTAACATTGCTGTAGGAGACCTGTTGATCTCATTCTACATGATCATCATTACATCTACAAGACAAAGCATGTCGGCTGAGAACTATTACAGTATGTACCTACCGTACTACTGCAGGATTGTTGGTCTCTTCTTTCTAACTGGTCAACTTTCAAGTTCAGGAATGTCATTTTTAACGACATTAGAAAGGTATTTAGCTGTCGTATACTGCATGAGACCACACATCAGGATCACCATGAGAATGTCCTACGTTGCCATGGCAATAGTCTGGAGTTTGTCTTTGTCTTTGACAGTAGGTTTCATGACTTCACCACAGTTCTCTGTTGAAACAGACAGCATGTGTTTACCTATTGTTAACAGTAACAATGAGCAAGTGCTATATTACGTAGGAGGTATTGGAGTCTTCTTATACATGATTGCAATGGCCTTATATGGTCACATGTATGTGGATTTCCAAAAGACTAACCAGAAGACCGTACAGTTACAAAGAGAAAACCGATTGGCACGCAGAATTGCACTCATCATGTTCACTAATGTTCTTTTCTTTATTTGTCCCTTGATTTTAATATTTATATTTCAAGGTATTAAACGTTTTTCTCACGTAGCTCAATTTATATTTTGGAAGACGTTTGTCATAACTTGTCTTGGAATCAATTCATGTCTTAATCCAATTATTTTCTCATTTAGAAATGAAAAATTTCGGGATGAGCTAAAAAGATCTTGTTTTCTCTGTCGAAACATGGTTGCTCCTGATCCTTGAGCTATATATACACACACTTATTTGACAAATCTTTGTCGGGTTCAAGACACATGGAACATAGAATCCATACAAGCTAAGACTGAAAAGGTTTCTGGGAAACAGTATCTTCCCATATTTAATTTCTATAAATTGGGTACTTCACTTTGTAATATGTGATTTATTATCTTTCTACGTTTGAATAAACTAAAGTCTAAAGATAAGGTGGCTCGATAGAGCCGGTTTTGTGTGTGGCGAGCGTTGCGCGAACGTGCGCAATAATGCAACTTGAAGAAATGTTATTTAGGTGACGTCAAGAAAGGCGTGTTGCGCGTTATTGCTTATGATTAATAACTCGTCATACAAATTTTCCATTATAGAAAGCTAAATTGATTAACAAAAAGGAGATAATTCAGTACTTTGAAGAAACCAGACTCTATTTTAGAATCCTTTTTTTAACTTTTATATGAAAGGTAACCTAATAAACTTAGATTATACGAAGTTTTGGGGGAAAAATTCCCTGGAAAACTAGAGTTCTTCGATGATTAAAAGACCTTAAGGGAGGCTCCTGAATGGGTAAAATGAAGCTGGTATTCGCCTTTTCGGGGCTTTGTTGGGATTGGAAAATGGGATTTTATGCAAAAACAAAAGAACAATGATAAATAGGAATGGGATTGAGATTTGCGCAAACCATAGGCTGGCACTCATGCGATTTGGTCAAAAATGGGGGCTGGGAAATAGGATAAGGACCCCCTCCCCCTTTCAGGAACCTCTGTAGCGGTCGTACGTTGTCATGGTTATAATATATATGTGATCAGTTTTATAAAAATATAATATTAAACATTTGATATGCTTGCGATAATATTAAGATCATGGCGGTCAATGATAAAGAGACTTATAAGATACGATATGAAAATACAATAGGTCATAGTTTGCTTAATTTATGCACTCTACTATTAAGGCTTTTTTATTTCTTTCCGAGATTTTATTAGTATTCAAGTGTAGCGATCTCATTTCTACGATATTTGGCCCAATATTTTAAACTTTTAAACGCGCAATCGGTGCTTTTTTTATTTTTTAGAGGTACTTCACCACAGTCAAAATTTGAATGCCTTCATGCATGTTGGAATTCGTCCAATCAGCTTCGAGCTCAAGTTGGTCTGTGAAGTAACGACGTCATATCCGCCCTACTTTTTGGCAAGTCGTATTAATGGCGACTTATTTTCAGAAGTTAACGACCGATTTCAAACTGAAAAAAGATATTTAGCATTGACTTACCTTCGAGGACTCTTTGGACATCCTTCTTTTGCTTGCTGGGTTTAATTCTAGGAAAGACCGCTTTTTTGGTTGAAAGGAATCGAGCTGAAGTGGAAGTTGGCATCGGCCGAAGTTTCCACCTTTAAATTATATAGGGAAGAGAAGTGCAGGGGGTTCCTAAAATCTTCTACAACAACAACAACAACAACAAACAAAAAACAAAAAAAAACTTAAAATCGAAAACTTTAAATACGAAAAGGTAAGTACACTTCTGGTTATCGAAATTTTATTTCCAAAATCTTAGCGAAATCTACATCATTTTAGCAAACTCTATTTACTACTGCATACATTTCCTTATTAAGAGTAGATAGCCTGGGTTATCTGTGCTAAAACAGCCCCACAATTCAATGCAATTCCAGCGCCTTCCGTTGTTTCCCTTAACCTTGGAATCTCTAATAGATGCAAACTATTTACACGATGGTTAAGTCGTTTCCATATTATTTACTTACTGTATTAACACAGTCACGTAGTCTGACTGTTGTATTACTACCAATAGCTAGTCTTTATCAGGTATTCTACTGTTGAACTACTCATACAAAACATTTCAAAAAGTATACAATAAAATTTGATATGTTGGAAAACGCGACTGCTGCGATATCACTCATACTATATTTATGATGTCAGCTACTATATATAAACATGTGAAGTGAAACGTCGTCGTTACCTATCGCAGTCTAAAATTATAAAGTATGAGCGGCGAAGCTGGGGGGGGCCAAGCATAGGACTGCACGCCTCCCAAACCCTTTGTGTATAAACTACAGACAAAGCATTTTGTGACGGAAGGGAATTTGTTACGTAAGTAGTCGTTAGTGGACAACTAACATAGCAAAAAAAAAAAAAAAAAAAAAAAAAAAAWAAAAAAAAGGAAAAAGAAAAACAACATCAAACTGAATAACCTATGTGATACATTTCGGGTACTTTGAACTAGAATTGCTAGTACACGGATTACTATAGAGAAGGAAAATGTTTCCAGGTGGGTCTGATAATGTCGTGGTCAGGCTTCCCCCTTCCGCTTAGCCGCCTCCGTAAAAAGAGAAATATATATAACGCCATCAGATTCTTAACTATGCAATCTCGCTACCATGGCAATATAATTTGTTAACTTTCCATCGCTTTTGTGCTATTTTTTAAAGTATACCGCGAGAAAATTTGAAATTGCCATTGACATAGTATTTCAGGGTGCAAGTTAAAATGGGGCATTATAGAAGTGCTACAATTAGGACAAGTACTATGGGGTGCGTTATGCAGGATCTACATTCTTGTATGTTATTAGCTTAATTATTGGAACGTAATCAAGTTCTCAGAATATAATGCATCAATCAGGACCAGTCCTACGGAGTACTGCATTCAGGATCTACATACTTGTAGGTTATTAACTGAACTATTGGAACGGTAATCAAATACTCAGAATACATGCTTCAATCAGGACCAGTCCTACGGAGTACTGCATACAAGATCTACATTGTTGTAAGTTATCAACTGAACTATTGGTACGTAATCAAGTATTCAGGGTAGCACTGAGAGTCATGATACACTACAAATATGATTGCATCAGGACGAATTGTATTAGCTGTAGAATCAAAACGGCCAATAGTTTGGGGGTTTTTAGGAGGTACTTTCATGTTCGAGTTGCCTTTAGTGTATCTTCCCACGAGTACACGAGCAAGGTACAAATGTCTGTGTTTGCTTGCGTCAGGCGATGCGTAAACGTGAGAATACGATGCTTTTTTTGCAAAGTACACGCCCTCGCCAAATCTAGTTCCTGTTAAAGAGATTAAAAATAGCAGTGAGCCTGGAATAAAAAATAAAATTTCTTGAGCACTGAAAAAAGGAGTTTGTAGTTGTGGCATAGAAATTTGGTTTTGATTTTAATCAAATTTTATGAAAAAAGGTGTGTGCGTGCTTGAAATGAAATCCATATTATATACAACATAGAACAAATATCTGCATTACTTATGACATAGTAATTTTAAATACACTACTTAATGCCCAGTGGAACTGCAAAAGCATTTCACCAGTGTCTTGAAGGGCTTGGGGTGCGAATGGACCCTTCTTAAAAGAATCGTGGATGCGAGGCTAACATAAGAGGGGTGCAATGGATTCCTTAGTTCACCCTTTTTGAATTAATGAAATACCGCTGTGTTCCTTGTTCACAGACTCATTTGCACAGGGTTAGCCTCGACTCAGTGTCCAAATATTCCCAAATACCAACGTTAAACTAAAGAATGTGCAACTTCAAAAATACAAACGCTTTGAAATTCCACGGATCCTCAGTGGAATGCATAAATATTCCATAGGTGATTCCATAAAATCGAGGCTAACCCTGTAGAAAAGAGAACTCGAAGCTGTACCATTGTAATTGTTTTTAAGCCATATTTCCTTACCATTAATACCACGGAAAATTCTGTTAAATCCTCTTGCATTGATATCATTTAGATTTTCCTTTGCTGTCCCATGGAATAATTGCCGTTCATTTATGATTCCGTCGTTATCTCTGTCCATGTTATGTTTAAAGACCATATACTGCTGGTACAAGTGAGGGTTTTGTATTCTTTCTATTTTCATGATACGTCCTGTTCCCCCTGTCTGTTGAAACAGCTTCAGCACTTTTTGGTACTCGGCCGAGCTATCCACTAGTGGGACAAGATACACTATTTTCTCTTTCCCATCTTCTTTTGGCATCGGACACCATTCGGTGGGTAATGAAATTATGTCTAGAAAATGAATTGAATTAAGCAAACAAAATCCTTTGAGGCATTCGTAGGCCGTAATTCTGGGCTTCTTGTATACGCGCGCAGGACTTTTTCAAATTTTGGATAAATTGAAAATGAAAATCATCATTATCATCATTATTATTTTCATCGTCATTATCATTATCATCATCATCAATATCATCATCATCAACATCCTTATTACTCCAACACTGAACGAACAAGAGCAATGTAGATAGGCAGTAGATCTTTAGCAGGTATGTAATAAAATAAAGCATATTTAGGCGACAAGAAAATAAAGTAAAAAAAAAGTTATTTCTTTTTCGTTTTGTTTTGTTTCGGAATGACTTCTAGAAAATTATTTAAATTATTTAGGGTGGTTGACTACTTTGGTAAATAATAAACAGAAAATTGAAAATTGAAAGTTTTTTAACCTAAGATTTAAAGTTGATTTCAAACATGCAAAGAAAAATGGAGTTTCTCGATCGAGCTTGTTTTTGAGATAATCACTCCGGAATGACTTGCGTTTGTGCAATTTTGGAAGAAAAATAGCATGAGTATTCTTCTCCGAAGACGTAACTTTCACTACATTTGTAAAATACTGATAAAAGTTGTTTTAATAAACTATTGTAGAAAATAGAAAAACGTTTTTAGTTCAGGTTCTACGGTGTGCAAGTTATCGTAAAAATTGATGAGCACAAAACAGAACGATTTTTTTACATTGTTCTAATTAACGGAATTGTCTTAAACTTATTGCGGAAAATAAAAAATATATACAGAGTTCCGTGCTAAATTTGAGGGTTTTGCCCTCTCGAAGTTCAAAACTCGTATGGTTCTTCAATAAAATCGTGAAGATTATTAAGCCTTTTTTGAGCGCGAGCACATTGTTGGCTCAAATCAAGTGTTGAAAAGTAGTCAGGACGGTGCCTACTATTGTCCACGCGCACACGTACTGCGCATCTACATTCGAGGAATTTCAAAATTTATTACTCGAATTGCACGAAACAAAACGTTTATTTTCAATAAAAGTTAAACAAAAAACGATCTTAAGTAACCCAGGCTTGTTAAAGAGATAATTTGCTAAGGTTTAAGTATTATTGACAAAGAATCATTTATTTTTTTGGGCAAGTTTTGAAAAAATGGCAGACTCGTAGTCCTAAAAAACCAAATCCTTTCAATAATAAAGTTTTTTACCGTTTCTTTATATTTAATCCTATAAAACTTGAATAAAAACAAGCAAGAAATACATGTGAAATTGAAAATTTACCATTTATTATTATCTAGGTGTGTAATTAGAGTTTTCAAAATCTTTTTTTGGTCGCTAAAAACTTTCATCATGAAATTCTTTTACTTTGGAGTTCTCAATCTAAAAAATCATCTTATTACGTACCAAATATTTCAGAAATTCCTTTCTGCTGTTAAGTAAAAAGTCGATAATGACTTCACTTCAAACCCAATAGCCCTCCTGGAACTATGAAGCTTATAAATATCGAGTTTTTCTCTGTGTTTTTTGCTTGCATGGCAGGAAGCAGCATGTTTAGATTGTATGTCACGCTTGTCACGCATTCGGCATAAGATTTATCCCAAATAATGTTCTTTAAAAATTCGTATCTCTTAAAAACGCCTGGATACCCCTATTTTTTCTTCGTTTAAATGATAGAGTAAATGCTAAATTAGCCTCGTGAAATGAAATTTATAAAAAATAATTGGTTTTGAAAAGAATATGGACACAATCTTTATGTACAGTACTGATCGAAAATAGGGAGCACGAAGCTAAAACATTATATATATTATAGCCGACTATTAAAGTCATGGTAGAGTTGGGTATATTTTAGTAAAGAAACAACGTGTCAGTCATTTAGGACGATTGAAATGAGATATTTCTCAAAATCTTTTTAAAAAAGATTTTTTTCTGGTGTTAGTAAAATCATGACGTCATCGCTTTTTAACGATTTTTAAGCCTTATTATATCTTTTAAATGCATGGTGACCCCTACTTTTCTAACCAGAATTTGATAACCCTTTGATAAGTTAAAATAATTCACGAAGTCATTTAAAAAAATAATTGATTCTCAATAAGTAGGCACCGTCCTTAAAAAGCTATTAATATTCTACACAAATTACCGAACGGTGGGTTCCCATGATAAAGTGCGAGCTAAACCTTACCTAGGCTCTTTTGTATATCCCGAATTTCTTTGCAGGAAAGTTCGTAGATCTCCATGATATCTTCTGGATTGCCTCGGAATTCAATACGTGGTATGCTGTCGTCAAACTTAATTTCCACTTCAAGATCATTGGCTTTCGCTGTCAGTACTTTGCGTTGAACTTCCGATAGCTTGGATATGTTCTCGTCATCAATTTTCATTGTCTTGCATGCCTCCGTCAATTCCCTGGTTAATGCTGCCATTGCTTCGTGAACAACCTTCTTACTCTCACCATACACACTAAACTCTATAGTCGCAGTTTTGGCCTCGTCAACTTTTTCGGGTTTCCCACTTTTTATCGCTAATAGATGTTCGTATTCACGCTCGCTCAGCTTTTTATTGAATGCGGAGAGCAACTCCGACTGGAAGATCACAATTCGTATTTGCCTAAGATGTTTCAATTTTGGACACACGTTAGCAAAAGCTTGAAAGGTAGCTTGTGCCGAATCAGCAGCTGACATCTTAAGGACCCCTGTTCCACACGCTGGTATTGAAATAGACTGAAAATTGGAATTGTCTGCAGTTTGAAGACAGTTCTCGATGCATTTCTGAATTTGTTCCACACTAGCATTACCTGGAATCATATGTATAATGTGTTTGGCCTTAAGTTTACCAGAACCAGTTGTCACAGCAGAACCTGCGGTTTGTTGACCTAATTTGGTGCATTCAGTCTGCACAGCGGGTCCAGCTGCAGCTGCAACAGCTTTGCTTAATGCGCCTGCCTTGTGCATGTTCATGTCAGCAGCATTGATGTTCACGATGGCGTCAGTTTTTTCGTTGATGAGGTCACCCTGAACTACCTGAACGGAAACTTGACCAGAACTACGATATAGTTTAAATTTTCGTAAAATATTCTTTAATGGAGAAAAAATGCCTCCACCACTAGTTTCACGGCTATGGAACTGATCGAAGGCCCGTGTAAACTCTTGCTCGAATGCCTTCACCAGTTCTGCATCTTGGTCAAAAACTACAAAGCGGATGTCGCTCAAAGAAGATGGTACGCATAGACAAGTGACATTGATCACTTCACTAATCATTATTTGGCAGGCCGTGCTCTTGGGAAAGCCAAGCTCACCTGTGCCAATGATAGGAAAGGCTATTGATGCGGCATTAAGCTTTGATGCTTGCTGAAGGCATTCTCTCAAAATAGACCTTAATTTCTGAAATTGGAAAAGTCAAAAAGCATTCAAAAAAGAAATTTCAATAAACTGTTCAAAGCTGCGGTTTCACGGCTTGTTTTTAAGGGATATGCAGTGTGCTGATATTCCACTTTAAAGAAGGAATAAAAATCAATATGTTTCCTTTTAAGTTGATTCTTTTGAAAGTAATTTTGCCAATAACTTTGAAACTGCTCGGACATTAATCATGTCCTGAAAGACATTTAGCTGTAATAGTTGGTCCTGAGGAGCACATTGGTATGATATAGACAGAAGATTGGAGTAATCTATTGGTAAAAAAAAAAATAGCTCACCCTTTCTGCTTCACCATTCACACGATCCCATTCGCAGCATGAAAGAAGGATGACTTGATTACAGGGAAGATTGCCAGGCATGTCTATGATCACGTTATTACTTGACTTGCTTTGTTTTATTGGTTCTTCTGAAAACTCGGGTCCACCAGCTTTTACAAAGATGTCATAGAGCTTACCCATAGTTGAACCTACTTGTATACAAACCTAAAAAATTATAAAAGAAAAAGTGAAAGTAAAAGTAGAAAATAAGATTCTACATTCCAACATATTTCGTTTTCAAACACATTTCGACTTGTAAACAAAATGACGTCACACTTTATGCCAACAAGCTACACATTTTTAACATTCAATTTCTCTGTGTCATATAGACTTTAAATTATCAAAGAAAAACAATGTCAAATTAAGCTATTTCCTTGACAAACCCTGGTGTTACGTAATACTACGCGTTCGATATCTTAAAACTCAGACATGATTGCGAGAGTTGTGCGGTACCTCAAGTATGTTACAGTCAAGTGAATCACTACATACATTTATAGGCAGGAATAAACTAATTAACTACATACGACGTTCCTACCTTTCATCATTTTGGAAATTTTGGTATGAATGCGGTTCAGTTTACTAGTGAACAACTTTATGGGTAATCAAAACTACAACACAATATCTACTGTTCCTTTTGAAGTTTAATGCTATTTTGCACATAGTATCATGGGTGAGCCTCGTTATCGTGCTAGAATTTTAATATATCGAACGCGGTCTTTTAGCAAACTGTTCAAAATAGTTAAATTGGATACGCCAACTCACATGCTCTGTAACAATGTTTCCTGGTTTCCATGAAATGGTTACATTTCCACATTTCTTACTTTTATAACCAGCAGATGCACTAGCATTAGAATACACTGCCTGTGAAGTAGCATCGCTGCTTTCATTGGATGATATTGTATCCAGGCTCTTGTCATTGCCTTTTAATCCTTCCCTTCCTTCGGTATGAGGTACATTTTCATGTTTCTCTATTACACAGTTGTGTTGGTCCTCTATTTTTCTGATTATTCCGTCCAGGTTTCCATTAGTGTTCAATTTGTGAAGACCAGGCTGTTGAACTTTCTTTTTGTCTCTTGAAACAGAATCGGCCCAACGCTGAAGAGCTTCTCGTACATGAGCACGTCCCGCTTTTGCTCCACGGATTACGAACGTATAGTCTTTTTCTACTACATTGATGGTTAATGAATGTTCATTTTTCATCTCCACAAGTTTGCCTTTTTGGACTTTTAATATGTAACGTCTGACCCCTTTTTCTGATCTGCAATATATCTCAGTTCCACTCGAGTTTTCATCAATGAATGCTTTGAGTGTTTTTTGGGCGCTTAAAACGTCTTCCTTGTTACCCACAATCCACGTATCAAAGTTTTCGTTTATGCGATAGTAGACTTTGAATGCTTGCTTGGCTTCGTTACACAAATCAATCCACTTCTGAGCCTTAAAAATATGTATATTTTCTTCATTGGCTTTAATTTTCTCCTCGGCGATAAGTGACTTCCCGAGAACAGCTGCTTTATCAGCATATTTCTTGTTGATCCCAATAAGAAAGGCATTACCCTCACAGATGTGGAATACGGCATAAATTTGCTGTCTCAGAAACTCCTTTTCTATTCTTTTTCTAATTGCTTCTTCGAAATTCATTATCTCCAAGAAAGACTTTGAAATTGAAATTTTCTTTTCGCAAAAGTTTGATAATTCTTGGCAGATCTTTAATTTCGCCTCATAGCACTGTTGTTTTGGCCCTGTGATCATAACTTTACCATTTGCTTTATCTATGTTAAACTCTAGGTCGACATACTCATGATGTATTTTTTCCTGATAGCCAGTCATAATTAAGAGGCTTAGCTTTTCCTTTTCAATATCCATCGTCATTGTTTTATTTGCTTTCTTGGCTTCAAGACTTTGTGTTTCGACAATTTTATCCAGAAACTTCTTTTTCAGTTCTTTTGCGTCAGGCTCTCGGCAGATGATGGTGACTTTTTCCTTCGAGGATTCACATTCTTTGACCAAAAGCTTTTCCTTTCCGATCTCTTTGTGCAATTTAGAAATTTCGACGATTATAGCATCCCAATGATTCTTGTCAACATCCAGCTCGATAGCCTTGAACTTCTTAATATAATCAGTCACAATTTTTATTCCTCTAATTTTATAGACCGAAATGCCCAAGGCACATTTTGTTGGTGCAAAATAGACAATTGAATCTCCAGAAGCGTACGTCATGGTGAAACCATGTACTTTCAACAATTCCTTGAGCTCTCCGAGAGAATGTGTTGCTGATATGAACTCCATTACATCTTTGTCAACAGCTACTGCAACTTCAGGATGAGAATGCTGCCTCCTTGTGGCTTCTTGAATGGATGGGTTGAACCTTTCCACGATTAGTTCTGCATCGTTCAATTTCTGTGACCTTGACATCAAAATGCTCTGCATCACTGGAAAATTAAAAGTAGAGTTTTCGAGTTTTAAATTATGTAAACATTGAAAGACTCTAAAAAGGTGCATTGCAGATTGAAATAGCTTTGGCCAATTCTTAGAAAAATTCTGGGAGCAACTGCCACTGAATACAAATTCTAATGAATAAATGATTCAGTAATCTTGATTCAATCTGTTTTTGGCAGCATCAGATTATTATCAGAATATATTATTAGGATATCATTCGGAAAGAAACTGGTTGCAAACAAACCCACCATTAGGATCTTTAAACGTAACAATAGCTTCTTCGTTCCCTTCCTCATATTGAATACTGGTTACCTCTCCACCGATTCGTGGATTAGAGAAGAAATATTTCAGAGCATCGCGTGTAGTGTTAGACGCTAAATTGTGAACCAGAATACTGGAACAGACAGGTACTCGATGTACGGTAACCTTTCCTCCCTCAAGACTGCGACTTTCCATCTTTTCTTTAACATTTTCGAAATCTAAGATAACATTGGAAAAGAAAATCAAAAGTTTCTAAATTTCATTTCCTAGCTTCTAAATTTTTGCTTCCTGGAAGAATGGAAGACTAATTTACACCACAGTATAATAACTATAACCATTTTTCATTATTTATAATCATTTTTCAAAATATTTAAAAGGTAATCACATCCTTCCTCCATGTTCCATTTTCCTCAAGCTTGTTCTATCCATCCTCAAAATTCCAACTTCAACATGAATTTTAGCTTTAAATTTCTTACCTCTTAACTTTTCAAGTTTTATTAAAGCAGTTGTTTCGTCTTCCAACTTAACGATTTCCAGTACCTGTTCTTTTGTTTTGGACTCCACAAAGTTCATAATAGTCTCATAACTCGTGGATTTGTTTAGGCCTTGTATTAACATTACGTTTGGCTCAAATTTTGGATCTTCCTTTGCACATTGTTTGGCATGGTCTTCACGACCCTGCTTTGTAACATATCGCGTTCCTTGCGGTCGCGCATCTGTTTTTGTCACATTCTGGAGCGTTATTCCTGTGCTTCCGTTGTTATGTGCACGTTTTCCACTGTCATCGTTGCTTTTAAGACCATTTTTAGTTTTCATTTTTAGTTTTCTGGGCAACACTTGTGGCTTGCGTTTTTCCATCTTGTTACTAGCTGGGAGTGTATTAGCTCGCAATGCCTCTGGTCTACTCCCTTCATGTCCATCAATAGATACAGTAGGTAGCATCTCGACTTTTTCATTGTTGAGATCCTTTGGATTTTGAGAACGCTTTGTATCACCCAGGTCCTTTGGTTTACGAGACAGCTCTTCGTCACCGAGTTCCTTTGCTTTGCGAGACTGCTGTTCGTCACCGAGTTCCTTTGGTTTACTGAATAGCTTTTCGTGACTGAGGACCTTTGGTTTGCGGGACAGCTTTTCGTGACTGAGGTCTTTTGGTTTGCGAGATAGTTGTTCTTGACTGAGGTCCTTTGGTTTGCTGAATAACTTTTCGTGACTCAGGTCCTTTAGTTTGCGGGACAGCTCTTCGTCACCGAGTTCCTTTGGTTTGCTAAATAACTTTTCGTGGCTGAGGTCCTTTAGTTCGCGTGGCAGCTCTTCATCACCAAGGTCCTTTGGTTTGCGAGATTGCTGTTCTTGACTGAAGTCCTTTGGTTTGCGAGATAGCTGTTCTTGACTGATGTCCTTTGGTTTGCGAGATAGCTGTTCTTGACTGATG